GATTTAAAGGGCAGAAGGGGACATTTGTGGGTAATGCAGTATTTTGGCAACAAGGTCCTTTCTCAGTTTGCCTTGTCCTAGGTCTTCCCTACAGGTTATCTGAGAATATCTCCAGAGTGCTTGGCTGGGTAGCTCCTACTGACACCAGCCCTAAACCCATGCAGAAAGCACACACCACATCTGTCAGTCTCCCTGGAACAGGACTCAGCTCTTGAAAACATCTGGTGCTTCTCTCTGACCTCATCCTAAAACCGAGGCAAGCCAGCTGAAACATCATGCAAACACAAAGACTGCTGAACTCCAGGGAAATGCTCTGGGGAGGGAGAAAGCACACTTGCTCCTCTTCTAGTGAATGTTCTCCTGCCCACAGATACCTGGGTGTGCCAGGACCACCTTCAGTAGCCCTCTAAGACATTCTAGCCCTATTACAGCGTCATTCAGTTGTCTTAACTCTTTATGTGTTAATGTTCTGCTTCCCCCCAACTAAACTGTGATTACTCTGAGGGCAGGGAACACGTTTAAACTTGTTTTTCATAATAGCTTTGTTGGTTTCTGGCTCAACGTAAGAAACAACTGTTGGGGCAGAGCCAACATGGCGGCGTGAGTAGGACAGTGGGAATCTCCTCCCAAAAACATATATATATTTTTGAAAATACAACAAATACAACTAAATCCTAAAAGAGAGACCAGAAGACACAGGACAACAGCCAGACTACATCCACACGTGCAAGAGCCCAGCGCCTGGTGAAAGGGGAATTTACCCTAAGAACGCAGCAATCAAGTTTGAGAAAGACAGATGCAGCACTATTTACAATAGCCAAGAATTGGAAGCAACCTAAATGTCCATCGATAGATGAATGGATAAAGAAGATGTGGTACATATACACAATGGAATACTACTCAGCCATAAGAAGTGGAAAAATCCAACCATTTGCAGCAACATGGATGGAGCTGGAGAGTATTATGCTCAGTGAAATAAGCCAAGCGGAGAAAGAGAAATACCAAATGATTTCACTCATCTGAGGAGTATAGGAACAAAGGAAAAACTGAAGGAACAAAACAGCAGCAGAATTACAGAACCCAAAAATGGACTAACAGGTACCAAAGGGAAAGGAACTGGGGAGGATGGGTGGGCAGGGAGGGATAAGGGGGGGGAAGAAGAAGGGGGGTATTAAGATTAGCATGCATGGGGGGGAGGGAGAAAGGGGAGGGCTGTACAACACAGAGAAGACAAGTAGTGATTCTACAACATTTTGCTATGCTGATGGACAGTGACTGTAAAGGGGTTTATAGGGGGGACCTGGTATAGGGGAGAGCCTAGTAAACATAATATTCATCATGTAAGTGTAGATTAATGATAACAAAAAAAAAAAAAAGAAAGAAAAGGGGGATTACTCCCTGATAGGATAAAACTAACTGTAAATCAACGATTAATGCATGCTTTAAATATCCTTAATTTTGACCACTTAAAGGGTGTCAGATGATTGGCTATGGAGGTACATTTTTCTGATAATATTCCTTTCTCTTAAAAAAAAAAAGCAGTTCCTGTGTGGTGACCTCCAATGAGTTCTACACAATGGTATAAAGGGCATATCAAAGTGTGGGCAAAGGGTCTGTTTGTGTTTATACAGAGGATCAAAGCCTAATTTGGCTACCCCGAAAATGAACTAAGATATGATATGAAAAAGAACTTCCAACATCAGCACTCTCTGGAAGACTCATGCCAGAAGATGATCATCAAAAAACCCCAACAAAGATCCACGCGCTGCTACAGGTGTAGATGCACTCATCCCACCGGTTCCTGGACTTGCCATGGGAATGAAGAAGGAGATATCTAAGCTGGCCTGTGCATACAGTAAAACAACAAATTTGACTGGATCTATACTGTTGGAACTCAACCAAGAATTAGGAGAAGTGCAAATTGTAGCACTCCAAAATCTTACAACTACAGACTATTTACTGTTAAAAGAACATATGGGATGTGAACAGTCCCCAGGAATGGGTTGTTTTAATTTGTCTGATTTCTCTCAGACTGTTCAAGTTCAGTTGGACAATATCCACCATATCATAGATAAGTTTTCACAAATGCCTAAGGTGCCTAACTGGTTTTCTTGGTTTCACTGGTGATGGCTGGTAATTATAGGTATGCTTTGGTTAAGTAACTGTACTCCTATTATGTTAATGTGTGTGTGCAATTTAATTAGTAGTTTAAAACCTATACATGCTTATGTTACTCTACAAGAAGATATGTCAAAGAAATAATCAATCTTCCCATGTTTTCTTCCGCCTGTTACTTCTATAGCTTTTCTTCTTCCTTCCTAATTACAACCCTTAAATAGAATTCGTGCCTCATATCGAATTTACTGTGTATCATAATTCTTCCAAGTGGTAAAGATACCTCAAGACAAATGCTGGGCATAGAAGCCACAGGGCATAAATATGCAAAGAAGTAAAAAACTAACCTTTTCAAACAATAAGGCCTCTCTCTCACTTACCAACTTTACATTTCCCTGTATGGCCCCAGAAGATGACTGGTTAGCCAGAGACGGGTAAGATTCCTCAAGGGAGGAACAACCTAAGACAGGCACAGTCACAGGGGGACCATCAGGTGAGAAATTGGGGATCAACAGAGGTGAGGCTCAGAACCTCACCCCCCATTTTGAGAGAAATCTTTTGCATCCGTGGATGTTTTGCTGCCCTGGTCTAGCTTGGATTAACACATAGTCTACAGGCACACACCTGATCATCTACATTTGCTCTCTTACAACACTAAACTATGTTTTCTACTTTTATCTTGCATCTACCTACCACTTCCTAATAAAATGCTACCACTTCAGCATTTTATTAAAAAAAGAGAAATGTGGTATCCACATATAAATCAAGTATAAAAATCAAATGAATATTCATATTTGGACTGATTGTTTATAGTTCATAATGCATGATCAAAACCAAAAGTTTGTGTTGACTGCCCTTGTGCTGTTCACCATGTAACTTATTCACTATGTAAGAATTTGTTCTCCATGTAAGAACTTGTTCGTTATGCTTCATAAGATTGGAGACTGACAAAAATTTGGCTTGGGGTGGTTTAATGATTGTGCATTGAGCATTGACTCCCCTATAAAGAATTTTATTAACAACCATTTGATCAATAAATAGGAGAGATGCCCTCACAAAAAAACAAAAACACACAAAAAAAGTACACACTTCCAATTGTAAAATAAATAAGTAACCGGGATATAATGTATAGCATAAGGAATGTAGTCAAAATATTGTAACAACTTGGTATGGTGATAGCTGGTACCTAGAATTATCATGTATATAAATGTTGAATCACTGTGTTGTACACCTGAAACTAATACTGTGTCAACTACCCTTCAATAAAAAGTAATTATCTACAAAAACAAAAACAACTGTTGCTTGAGGGTTTATTAATAATAAATGTTTTGTTTTGCACAATTTCTCTGACCTGATAAAGGTCTCTTGGTATTGGGTAGGTTCACTAATCCAGTCCTGGTGGTGGGGTTGTTAGGGTGAGTGGGAGGGCAGTGTGGTGTCCTGCAGGGTTTAAACCTGCTCCATCTCAACGACTTACCGAGAGCCCTACCTTGGTCTACTGAATCAGTTTCCAGGGGAGAGGCCTGGAAATGGCTAACAAGTACCTCAGGAGATTCTCATTTGGGACACACAGGTAGGAAAGAGCAAAGCAATGGGGTTTAACTGCAGGCTCTGTTATTGATGGAGGTTCTTGTACAAATGTCTGCTCCTCAGCTACCTCACCTGCCCAGCAGGGATGACAGGAGCACAGAGTGCCCTCACCTAGGTCACCTGCCAAGGTAAGAAGTGTGTGAGATCACCAGCGCAGTGCTTGGAACCCAAGCAGGGACTCTTGGCTCAGAGTACCAGTGATGTTCTGGCCACCCAGATTCAGGAGCTTAGGACATTAACTTTGGTCGGAGGTGAGTAACAAGTTCTTGAGCAAGAACAGCTGAGAGCTGAGGCGCTATTTTTTGAAGTGAGAGCCTCAGACCACCTGCACCAGCAGGCCCCCCCAGACCCAATGCCCAGAAATCATTATTTTAGCAGGCTTCCCATGTTGTAAAGCACAACGAAGTTTGAGAACCACTATCCCTGTATCCTTTCTCCTCCTTTGCCTTTACCAATGAACTGGCCACTGATGTGGGAGCAGATAAGTGGACTCTCAAGTTTTCTCAATTAAGTTTTATAGTAATTAAACTTACTCCCGTGAAACAATGCTCATTGCCTACCTCCGACTGATGTCTATGAAAACATCCCATTTTGAAGCCAGGATTTTTCAAAATACATGCGAGTTCTGTTTCAAGGACTCAGCATCAGAAGCACTATAAACAAATGGACAAGCCAGCACTGCTGAATGAGGCTCTTGTGGGAAAACAGACCCAGTGTTTGTTGAAATGATCATTAATTGGCTTAGATGCTGGAAACTTCAGGTATGGAAACATCCACAGTTTGAAGATCTTTTGTACATTAACGGATTTGCAAGGGCTTTTGTCTGGCTGTCAGTGGCATTTGCTAACAGTGTAGTGCACTGGACTAGGTGACAAGGGATGCATTAGTCATTTGTAAAATGAGAGGGCAGGACAAGATCAGGTATTCCTAAGCTAGAGTGCATGAATCCCAGATGGCTTCAGGGTCTGGATCCTGGGAAGCCATCAACCAAACTCTGCATATAAGCCTGTCCATTTTTCTGGGGATAGAGTCTAGCTTCTCAAAAGTCTAGATTCCCAAAAGGTCCAGAACCCCCACATGGTTTAAAAATTACAGGCTGGATTATTTACTGCAAAGGTTTCTTCCAGCTCTAAGATTCTAAAGAAAACCAGTGTCCAGGCTCCTTCTGGGGGTCTAACCTGACTTCGTGTGTTTTTTTTAAGGCCACAAACAAGTGCTTCCTTTACACCACCTGCTGCTTCCCAACAAAACAGTCTCTGTTGTGCAACACTCTTTACTTGGTACAAACAAGACCATTTTTCCCCAGATGGGATGATTTAACTTGTTTTAATGTAGTCTGCTATAAAAATGGATGAAAGACTTCTTCATGGTACATTTGGCTTTACAAACGTTAACGACTTCGTTAATGCTTGTGTTATGTGTTACACGCCGTCATAGTCTGTTGACCAGTAACAAAGCTTTCACAACATGGGTTAATACCAAAATTGTGAATCACGGAACTTTTACTTAGCACACACACAAGCTACAGCAAACTTAAATACTCATCTATAATACCTAGCTGCATTATTAGATCCACTGCAGTATTGTGCTTATTTCTCAGGAGATAGGCAACTAGCAAAAATACACATTTCTTTTGCATTTCCCCACCCCCATATTACACTATAAAAGAAATACATTATTCAGTGCACTTCCTAAGAAATAAACTTCCTTATAGTATCTCTATATGTCTATGCTGAAACAAAGGAAGAGCACAATGCAACTTTTAAGATTACCGTTTAAAGCAAGAGAGGTACTGACACTCTGGGACTGTAGCTCCTTCTTCCTGTTGGGAAATTTCAGCTATTTTAACATCAACACTATGCATTTGGCTATGCAAGGGAATCAAGTTTAATGCATGATTGTTTTGGGCAGTTTATAAGTTTGTCTACCTTCACTTGGCAGACACCCTGGGACTTTAGTGGTATTTTAATTTTTGATGTGTTGGCCTTAAACCATAAGCTGTGGAGACACCAATATACACCACTGTGATTTATACATCGATGTTTATCACCTGCCTTTACCCCATCAACTCCTATTGGGTTAAGAGGAAACAGACTTAAATTTAAAAATAGATTTAAATTTAAATGTATATTGGATTAAGAGGAAACATTTAAATTATTGGAGGTTAGGGGCTGCTGGATAGATGTTGGCTAGAAGAATTTATATGAGGACACCAAGGCCTCCCAATCTCTGTGGACACAGTCATACTACCACCATGTCTGCACTGGATCACAGAGTCTTGTTTGGATTGGAAGGAGGATAGTCATTATGTTCTATGGACCTTGCTGGCTGCACTGGTCTACAGATTAGAAAGAGGGGGGCTTTTTCCCTCACAAACTTGCTATGATGGAAATGAGAGAAGGTTCTAGAATGAAAGGTTACAACTTGGCAGCTTGCAAGCTAAATCCAGCTGCGGAAGAGTTTAATCAGCAGTGTTTAAAATTTTGGGGGGCTCAGTTTTGATATTTAAAAATGAGAGTGCTTCTTATGAAAGTTTGGATTTCATAAATCTAGAGGATTTATGAGAAGCTGGTAAATAACCCTAATCCAGCATTATTGCATGGCAACAGGGGCTGGAGCTGAACAGGGATGGTTCTTTTAAATGGGACTGGGCACTTCAGTTTGCTACAGCTCTCAACTACTCCCAACTGTCTTACAACTTAAGATTGAGTGACCTGTTTTATGCATTTATATAACAAGCTGAGTTTTGTGACACTGAGATTTGTTTGGCCTGCCTTTTCATGATGCTAAAGACCTGACCTCATTTGGAATTTCTCCACCTTCCTGTGGACAAGACTCCTCCTTTGATTGGGTCCCAGCCACATCTAGCTGCTTTGGTAGATAATCTTAATGTGCATTTCTACTCGTCCTTTATGCTATATTGCAAACTCCAAAGATTTAATAATCACACTAATATTTATGTGTTGGTGTATATGTTAAACATGTAAAGAAAGGGGTGTGTATTATACAGGTATTATGTATACTTCCGATTAGGCAAAAGTTAATTTGGTTCCACAAATATAGACACCAAGTGCTGGTGGCTTATAAAATAAGCATGATAATTTGGTAAAACCTATATAATTCTGACTTATAATATTACAGAGAGTGGATTTTAAGTTATTGCTTTTTGATTACATAATAAAGATCTCATTCTGTTGCAAAACTTTTATACAGAATGAGTAACTATTTCCTATTCAAGTAATAGCAGTTGGAATCAGAAGTTCCTTATACAACAGTAGATGCCTGAAGACAATTTTTGGAGATGTGATTTCATTCTATTTAAGAATTGATGCAGGAAACTGGGAGTGACTTAAGTTTTCAAAAGTACAAGGAAATCAGCACCCCAACTGCTTAATGCTCAGGAGGGTTTCTCAAGGGCTCTATAAAGCTCAGCTCTGTGGTGAGATTGCACCCACCTTTAGGATTCTCATTCTATGTATGCAGCCTTGTTTCTGAACAAAAAGCTATATTAATAACAGTAAGAGGATTAAAAGCAGTGTTGGTTTTTAACATTCAGAATTCAGAGGATCTCATTTTCTGCAAGTAGATGATCCATTTTGTACTTCCGTTGCAGAATCACATTCATTGGCCGTCTTATTTCAGGCACTTTTTAAACTTGTTCATCTGGAATAAAAATCTGCATGAACCACTTCTGCATAATTCAGAATGAGTGTTGAGTGATTCCAGTCCCAAAATAGACAGCAAATCACCACTTGGTACTCAATCAGCTTTCTCCATCACAGCACGATGGTCACTGCTGAACTTGGGATGTCTTTGAGGTGCCCTTCTAGCTTTAGTACAAAGATGTGAGTCATAAAAACCTAAACTACTCAGTTCCCACTTAAAAAAATACAAAAAGGTGAGATATACTAAATGAATATACAGATGGTTTCAGCTACTATCAAAATAAATAACATGATCTGACTCAACAGTTTGACTCTGAGCTGTTGGACAATCTGATGGAATGGCAAATGTGGAGACTCCTTTCTGGGAACTAGCTGCTGGTAGGCAAAAGTATCTCAACCTCCTTGCCATTGGCTACAACAGAATTAGAAGAGCAGCTGCTGGCCAGGTCTTCGGCGGTGGTCAGAGAAGGTGCCTGGGAATGAGTTTTGGTCAGTGGTGTGGCAGTGGCTGGAGAAGGGGTGAGGCCAGGTTTTTTGGGTGGGATGGGTGGAGGGTTTCCTCTCTCGGCTCTGGGGATGGTAGGGGACTTGACCCCTGGAGACAGGGGGCTCAGAGGACTGGACACTTTCCCGGGAGTAGGTGAGTGGCCAGTGTCACCTCTCGGGTTGGCAGTGCTGGCCAGATTCCTATAGTCTGTGCCAAAGGGAGAGCTGTTGGGGGAGACAGGCTTGATCGGCCCTTGTTGGCTGGTGAACCTGGAGAGCACTTGAGTGACAGTGTTCCGGGCCAGCTGCTTGGCGGCAGAGTTGTCTATAAGGGTCGGGGAAAGATCCCTGGATGGAGGGCTCTGTAGACCACTGGCTTGTTGGTCCTGATCTGCTTGAGACTGAAATTTGTGCCGAGCTGCATGGAACCGCTGGTTGATCCCTACTTGGTAGGATGACTGGTAGCCAGGGCTGCTTGCTGATGACCCCAACAAGCGCTTAGTTAGTACTGGTGAAGAGCAAGGAGAGGAGGTGAGAGAGGAGGAGGCAGTGCTGCTGGGAGAAAGTGAGCTCCCGCTGGAAGGGAGGAGGCTAGGCCCTGGGACTGCAGTCTCCATTCCCACAGGACAGCCACCATTCTCCACTGCTTTGTCTGGGGCCAGTCCCACAGACTTCTCCCGTGGAGGCACTTGGTTTTCTATGCTGCTGCTTGTAATCGACTCCTTGGCAGTTTGTATCTCTGGCTCAAGATGGCCATTGGTTTTTGCGTAAGAGTGAGGAGGAGCGGTGGGGCCAGGCAGCCCGGGCACTGCCACCTTGGGGGCACTGCTCCCATGGGCTCTTTCTGCCTGGAAGCCCTCTGTTTGGCAAAGGACAGACACTAGCATGGGAGGCTCAGTTGCTGTGCCTTTAGACAGGGTTACTGGTTTCTCTGATTGCTCATTAGGGCACCCATGCGGGTGAGAAGCCTCTAGATCCTTCACTATCTTCTTCAAACTTTCCATCTCTTCTTTCAGAGTTTTGGTCCGGTTCTCTTCTCGGTTCAACTTTGCTCTCAGTTGCTCTCTTTCGATGTCAAACTCAGACAACTGCTTCTCCACCTGGGCCTCAGTCTGCAAGCCTCGCTTCCTCTCAGCTGCCAGCTCTTCCTCCAGTTTACTCACCCGGCTCTTCTCCTTCTCCAGCTTCAGGCTCAGCTCGCCTGCCTTCTGCCCCTCCTCGGCCGCCCTGCTGGTGGCTTTCTTGCACTCGAGCACCAGCATGGAGGACAGCTGCTTGTGGCAGGCGCGCTCCTCCTCCAGCTGACTGGAGAGCTTCTTCTGCTCTTTTTCAAACTTTTTCACCTGGGACTTTTCAAATTCCAACTAGAAAAAAATGCCACCATACATCTTGATTAGAGTAAGAAAATAAAGAGAGATATAGGATATTGAAGCTACCACTAAGTAGAGTGTCCTGGCTCACTGTTCTCTGGCACAGGATTACCACACACGCTTAGAGCAGACATTTCTGAAGTATTAGGATACCTAACACAAAAATGTATACATGAGAATTGAATCTTTCTTTGATGATTTAGGAGGCCCTTCCTGTTCTTATATTGTCTCAGGGTTATTAGTGGGAATAGGAACCATCATTGTGTTATAGGTCTGTGGAGAGTTCAGAGGATTAGAACCAAGCAGAAAGCCCTATAAACCAGATTTTATGACGCATGCTGCTGCTAAACACAAAACTTTAAAGCTTCAGTAATAATTTCGTTCTGGTCTTAATGAACAAGAAAATAGTTGCATTTGAACCATGCTAACATTTTTACACAAATGCAGCCTGTTTTAATTGTCATCCCAATCCCGTTTAAGGGAGAGACTTTGATTAAGAGGGAAGGGGTTGATTTAACCCTTTAAGTCAGTGTTTTCTGAACTCCGAGAACCACTGATTCATGGGGAAACCAACCTAGTGAGCTACAACCAGAAGTTTTAAGAAATGAATGTGCAGTGTAAGCAGTCAGGGTTTTGGGTGATTTCATGAGATTTTTGTTTCAGGTATGTGTATGTGTGCATATATAAACTGGGTTATGATATAAAATGTATTTCTTCCCAGGAGTCCTAAGTGAAAAAAGGTTTGAGTGCTTGAAATTAGTGTTCCCCAAAGTACGTTAGATGGAACCACAGTCCCACAGTCAGCAATCTGTGTCAAAAAAAGATGTTACAAGAGCGCAGATTTGCTAAAGAAGGGCTAGACTGCCTTGTTCTTGAAGACTCACAATGTGCTTCTGCATACTAAAGGATCTCACAAATTGAAGTTAGAAACCTGTGTAACTTCATTTAATTCAGTAATTCCCAGACTTACTTGACCACAAAGCCCCTGCTTTTTTTTGAGCAACATCAATTTAGACCCTGCAGAACAATCTCAGAGAAATGCTCTTCTAGTTACTTGCTGCTCTGGACACCTCCACCTTAACTACCTGTTGAGTCAGCCGTTCACGTTCCTTCTCCAGCATGTAGGTGACATCGTCTCCTTCTGCTGTGTCCTGTGCATGCCTTTGCCTTTCTTCCTCAAGATCTAGGATCACCTTTAGAAAAAAAAAAAATTATTTCCAAATATCAAGGAGTCACACTTGTTAATACAATTAAAGACTGAGGGCCTATCTAAGCACCTAAGATAGTTCCAGAGATAGACAGACAAATAAATACCAGTCAGTGTCATTCAAGGAGTACACTGCCTAGCAGGCCAAAGGTATGCAAGCTTTGTGCTAGAAAACAGTAAGATATATGCTTTATTTTAGTTATCCACAAAATGGCATGAAAACAGAAGACAGCCAATAATTAGCTGTGGGGTTGAGAAGGTTTCAGAGAATCAAGTCTGGAAACTGCAGGTGCTTTGGTGGGACTAGGGGACAGTTACAGGTGATGAAGAAAGGACCATGCCAGGCTGAAAGCTGAGGTTCTCCCCTCAATGCTCAACTCTCTGGAGGCACCTAAGAGGGGGACCTGAAATTAAATATTTCAAATAGGTGACATCCTCAACTGGGCCTTGCTTAATTAGTAACATGCAGTTTGTATATAGTTAGGTTAAGAGAGAAAAGACTCTTTTGACTTGATCCTGAATGTAAAAAGGCTCAATTATTGGACTCTTATGTGGAGATTTTTCACCAGGCCTTTTAATTAACCTGCCTAACCCTATCCCCTACCTTTCCTGGTGCCAAAGGATTAAGCGCAATTTTAAAGAGAATACAAATTTAAAGAGACACCTGCCACGTAATCCTGCCTATAGCTGCACAATATTCTGAAAGGCAATGTATTTCTTTGTAGCTTCTGCTCAGGCTTTGGAGGTGCCCTGGCTCGGACCTCCGGGGCAGAGCACTGTCATCCCCACCCCAGCGGCCACTTCTCATTGTCTCTCCTAACAATTTTTACGAATGGAGACAGAAAACTTTCTGGGACATGAAAACTCCTGTTTAAACACAAAGTGTTTTCATTTAATAAAAATGAGAACATTTTAGAGTACTTCCTTTAAATTGAAAAAAGTAACTTTTCAATTTAGCAAGGAAGACAAGCTTTTGGGTAAAGGTAGTAGGTAGATCATCTGCTCTCCCTTCCAACAGTCCTCTAAAATTATAGAAACGGAATGAAATAATTAAAACCCACAAAGACAAAGAAAAGCTACAGCAGACAAGAAATTACAGTACCGTTTTGAAGAAGGAAAGAGGCTAGAGGATGGTCACTACTTTAGTGTGGGGCAGGAGGCTGTTTTGCCCTGCACGGCCCCAAAGAGATATGGCACCTGAAGTGGCAGGAACTACAGGGGAGAGGTGAGATGTGGGATAGAAAGCAAGGGGACTGGCTCAAAGTCTATATTTTCCAGAAGAGTTATTTGTCCCCTCAACTTGATTCCTGTACATAGAATGTTACCAGCCAGACATCTACTGCCCAGACATAAGCCAGATGCTTCTTTTGAAGAAAGTGATGGGCCTCAGGATTTGGGAATACCAGAAAAAGGGGGGGAGGAGTGGGGATTCATTTGATTTTGGGAAGATGGGAGGGTTGGAAAGGGAGGTGGGGTATAAGATAATGAAATCCACATCTATAATAAAAGGAAGTAATATATGTCTAAATTGATAAAGCAAGAGAACAGTGTACCATTGAGAAATACAGAAGTTAGCTACCAGAATAAATGGTTACAAGAAAATGTCTCTGAATATTATAGAGGGAATGGGAAGAAGTGGACTGGAGAAGTCTATTTTTCATTATAGGCAGAGTAACCATGTAATTTACTGTTCAAACCACAACACTTCTGAAGAGTCAAAGGGGGTACTGTTAATAACTATGCCAAGCCAACAGGCACAAACTGGGACTCCGTCAGGCAAAGTGGGACAATAAGCACCCTAATTTTGTGAGCCTCTATGTACTGTTTGATTTCTGACCAAGTCAGTGTCCTACTTGGATAAAACACTTAAGAATAGACAGGCAGTTGGTTTAAAATATTTAAAACTCACTTAAAGAATCTTACATTGAAATACAGTAAAGAATTTCAAGTTATTTTTAACTTCTTCCTCTCTGTAATCACCTAAAACCACAAATCATCCCAACACGACACCTTCCATAGGCATAACAGCCAGCCAGCCCTTTAGTACAGCTCAATGGCTTCACATATGAAGCAGGAAAAAGGCCTGCCTGTCAGACAAGGATGTTGTGATTTCTTAGAGGATTATATAAAAGTCTCCAAACTATAGGCAACCAACTTGAACCCACTCACACCTTTTAATTGGGCCATAAATGTCTTCAGATTACTTTATTCTAGACCAGAGGTTGAACTTTTCTGGGTCTTGGGACAATTCTGAAAATCCAATTAAAGATAGGGGAAAACATTCATGTACTATTAAAATGCCATTAACTTTTGGTATTCTGTATATTTTCTAGGGGCTCATGGAACACCTAAGGCCCATCCATGATTAGGTGCCTCCACTCTGGCCTTTCATTTGGACTCTGTGAAGAGAAGGAAAAATCATGGGCAAGGTCTAAGCCTAAGCAATTTGTCAGATACATTTTAAGCAGATGGCTCTCTAATGCAGGTAACCATAAAAGTAAACTAAGGTTCATGAAACTGCAGCTGCTAACCCAGTTTTTCAGAATAAAACATTTCCTACTAAATGTGCTAATATCTCCCCTTGTTGATATAAATCTCAATCGATAGCTTTAAAAAATGCAGTCTAGCCAAGCATCTTTTACAGGCCAAATTTGAGCAGCAAATGATAAGTCCAGGAATAAAATCACAAGTACTAGAATTCCAATGAGATGAGGCAGAGCACAGGTTTGCCCTAAACAAACCTGAATCCCTTCCCCCACCACACACATATACTTTCCTAATAGGGCAGAACAGCTCTAACGTAAACAGCCCTAGGGACTGTTTATGGTTGCATGAGAAGTAAAGAGCAATGAAACTCAAAATTAAGAAAAAGTGAAAATAATCTATTGGCTTGCATGTTATAGCCAGGTAAATTCTCTCTTAAATGTAGCATTCCCCAAATACCTGTTAATCTTTTTATTTATCACTTAAGTAAGCAAACAGAGAACACTCTGTTCAGCTACAAGCTTGGTCAAACCCTTTTGCTGCCAAAGTTTGATCAAGAGCTGAACAAACACAGCCAAGGATTCTGGAATGTTTATCAAGAAGGAATGCTGTCTTAAATAATGTTGTCTGCCTCACTCCCTAAATTTAACATTTGGAATAACCTGTGTTTTCTATTTCTAGCTCCTAGGTAAGCTAAGGGGCTTTTTGACACCTGTGAGACCTCCCAAATGAATCACTGTGAAAACCAGGAGCTAGCAAGGAAGTATCAGGTAGGATGGAGTCTTCACAAGAGTTTATGTAGCCCGAGTCAACTGCGGGAAGCTACCTTTCGGTGCCTGCTCTCGGCAGCGGCCAGCTGGGACAGCATGCGTTCCTGCATGTTCTTGCACTGCTTCACTACCACCTTGAGAATCGAGAGTGGGTTTGTGCACACTGGCTGCTTCTCACCATCGTTCTTCTCCTTCAGTGCTTCAAAGTCTCTCTGCAGAGCCATTAAAGGATCACTGATGTTATATTTTCCATAGCGTTCTTCAATGAAAGTGTCTCTGTGTTGGGCCTGGGAAGGAGACAAAAAATTAGCATTTTGCTTTTTAAAACTATGGAGGAGGGAGATTTACTAGTAGTTATACATTAGAGGTGGTGATATTAGTATGAATGTAACCTGCTGACTATAGTTTGGGCCACCTAAATAAAGGGGATATAGTATAATAATATTAATACTACATATAGTATTATACATAGTATTACTGTATAGTATTATTGGATTTGTTCTAAGCATTTACATTCATATTAACTTATTTAAATTTTACATTATGAGGTATGCTATCATATCCATTTTGCAGATGAGAAAACTATTAGATCAAGTAACCTGTTCTAGGTTAGTCATCTAGCAAGAGGTCAGAATTGGGGATTAAATCCAGGCAGCCTGGCTCTAAAGTCTGTGTCCTTAACCACCATGCATACTGCCTCTGCTTATGAATGCTTATATTACCAACAGATGTATCTTACCTTTTTCTGTGTTATGGTATTTCCATTTCTAAAACATGGTAAGAACGGTTAATTTTATGAGGTTACATATTTAGAAACCTCACACGGTGGCTACTGATAAGTAAAGGATGCTAAAAATATTTTCACATTATAATCCAGGACTATTTGTGATTTGAACATACAGAACTTCTCTCATTTGTTGGTGGGTCAAGAGGAAGGGTCTAGAGGTAGAGACAAAAATCCTGAGTACCTGCTGCCAAATACCCCCAGCCCCCTTCTCCTACTCTCTGCTCAGCTGCTTTCATCAGTCCTCCTTTCTGTCCCCTTCAGGGCTTGATGAGCTTTGAGGATGAGAGAGAAGGTGAGCAGGGAATTTGGGCTGGTGCAGGGCTCTGGGCCCAGGAATCAAGTTGGGTCTGAGGATTAGGGAGGGAGTGGAAAGATATTCCTAGGCTTCCCCATTCTTTTATGTCAGCTAGGAAGAACCTAATATATCACTTGGTATGAACAGTGTGTATTATCTGCAGGTTAATGGATTACTTTACTATAGACATTGAAAAGTTTCCTGAGACATTTTACAAAAAAAAAAACAGTTAATACAGTTTAAAGAAATTTTCTCAAAAACCACAGCAAAGCACTATATAACTTAGGCTTTCAAATTAAATTTGATTATGAAAACTACTGATTTATCAATTTTTAAAAATTATTTCATCAGGAGTTATGTTTTCTTACTACCACCATCCACAATTAGGAACCCAATCGAAAAGGTAAATCCACAATTCTACGGCTATGCTTAAAAAACAAACAAAAACCCTCACGAAAATAAACATGGAGTTTCTTTAACATAAAAGTATGTTTTGGTGCTTAAAAGTTAATGCCTCCTTCATTAGACTGTTCAACCAAGTTCAACAGCCAGTAATCACCTAGCCTTATGCTACAAATTTTTGTTGGTATCACCTGGCAAATCAAAGCAGAATCAGAAGCCCTGCATTTTATTTACTTCTGGCTTGACTACAACCATCATAAGTGATGACACAGAGTATCTGCATAGTACATGTATACCGGAAACATGAGGAACAAAGTCCATTTGTTCCTTTAAGTTATTCATAACCACCTTCCAAACCTTACTACAGGTGTGTGTGTGTGTGCATGCATGTGCACGTGCACACCTGAGCATGTGAATTAAAGGAGGTAAGGATTTGAAAGACAGAGTCCAAGACAGAATCCTATTTTTTTTCAGCTCCAAATTAAAAAAGAAATTCTCAGTAAAACTTCAAAATGATGTCTAGTCCATTTATAAAACAATCTCTAGTCTAAAAATCTCATCAGAAAAAGGCCAGTTCCTGAATTGGCCACTATTTTTATTACTTTTAAAAATCACGGTACGAGTAAAACAAAAAAGCTACTTGTTAGTTACATTTTTAAAAGCAAGTGTCAAACACCATGGGACTCACCTATGTTTTCCTTTCACCAAGAACATGTTTTTTTTTAAGTTCAGGTATATAGACTGATAACCCAGGATTCAATAAGCATCTAATATAGCTATTAATGTCCTAAAGCCAAGCCATGTTTAGGAAACACTTGAACAAAGGAAGCAAGAGGAAAAAAACTCTTAAAAAAGAGCTGAAATTCCACTTTTCTGTCACATTTGTTTATTTCTGATTTCCATTTCTGTATGATTAACAATGGTAAAGGAATGATTATTGGTACTGAAATTCATACACTAGGGCAAAAAGAAAAACCTAAACTTGTATTTTTATGACCATCTCCTTTTCAGAACACCATGGAGAAAGTGGGATGGGAGAAAAGGAGCTCGGGGTACCTTTCATGACCTTGTTATCAGATCTGCTGAGAAAGTGTCTCTCAGGTTTGACTATACAGTAATTAATCCTTAAAAAGATGACTTTTAAAATCCACACTATTATTATCCTGTATAATAAGCATCACTGAGTTACAAGACGAGGAGCTTCTTTGCTGAGGTCTCAGACTTCTCAGAGAACAGTTGTTAAACTGTTTTCTTTTGAAGTACTTCACAGTAATTCCATAATCACTTGCATAGTAATTACAAGTTATACAGAAGTGGTGGCTTTGCACATATAATGAAAAGAGTCTGTGGAATAATCTAAAACAAGTCTTCTTGTCATAAATCAGTTGTTTTAAGTACATTCTAATATGGGGCCCAAATATGGGAAAAGGGAATTCAAAGTGTATTATGTATGACTACACTAAAAACTGGATTGGAAAATGGGAGAAGACATATCGTATTTTTTCAACCAACTTAATGTCTCAGTCAGGTGGACTGTATGGATGACAGTTTAACAGCACAATTAGCAACAAAATAACCAAAAACAGATGTTAAGATTTGAAGGATGAAAGAGCTTTAGTGGAGATATGTATTGGTTATCTGTTCTTGTGTTAACAAGTTATCCCCAAATTTTGCAGCTTAAAAAGTAAACATTTTTTAAAAATCCCAGTTTCTGAGGGTCAGGAATCTGGGAGGGGCTGAGCTAAGTGGCTATAACTCAGTGTCTCATGAGATTGTAATCAAGCTGCCAGCCAGGGCTGCACTTATCTGAAGGCACAACTAGGGCTGATGGATCTGTTTCCAAGCTCACTCACATGGCTGTTGGCACAGGTCTTGGTCCCTTCTTACAGAGCAAGGGATGCAACAGAAGGAGAAAGTGAGAGAAAGACCGAGAGACGGACCAGACACACAAAGATGGAAGACCCAGTTTCTTTTATAACTCGTCCTGGAAGTGACCTACCATCACTTCTGAAGGATTCTATTGGTCAGAGACCAACCCCAGCAAATGTGGGAGGAGACTATATAAAGGTGTGACTATCAGGAGGTGGGATCATTGGGGGCCATCTTGGAGACTGGCTACCCCAAAGTGCATGGCTAGATATGCCATCAGTATCATTTACATCTCAGGTCAAAATCGAGAGACCAAGTACTTGTATTTAAATCTGTCAAGGCTGGGTTTTAATACTTTTAATGATATTTCAGCTATTTTATAAGAAATTTTAAATGATCTGGATTTGACTTTTTAGAGGAGGAATTCAGTAATACAACTAAAATAATCTGTTTCTTGCAATTTCATTGTTTTCACTCCAATGACAACATATACTTCAACTGAACAGAAATTCCTACATTGTCAGAAAACACGATGGTATTTAATTTCAGACAAAAGGGAAATAATTTGCTGGTTAGACAGATTCAATGACAGAGGGTATTACTATGGCAGACAAAACACACTAGCCCTGTATTACTCACTTAATTTTTACTGTCACAGGCTGAATAAAACACACCACTGCTGAAAGCTTAAAATAAAACGATATGATATCCTTGGAGTCTACCATGCTTGCTCTCCAAAAATTTCAGCCTTGTTATGACAAACTTCAAAAAGAAATATAAAGCAGTCACCTTCTCTCCCCTCCCCAATTTATACTATTACATATGTAATAATATATAATATGTAATAGTATAACATATAAATAATAGTATATGTAGTATAATAGTGTACTATTACTGTAATACAAATATACATATATATTTTCCCAATCTTAAAATAGAAAATCAATCTCTCCATTCTTTGGATGGTAATCACAGAGTGGTTTCTAAATCTAAAGGTGGAGAATTAAGGCCATGTATTCAAGTACAAGGGTTTATTTTTAAGACTCAGGCTGGTACCATAACTGGATTAGGATGAATCTTTGCCATTTATTGCCAATTCTGAAGCGATACTTTTAAAAGTAGCAAAATACATTTTGTGCCTTTAAAAATATCTGAATACCTCTATGCCAGAGATCAGAAAGACAAAAGAACATGGTTCTCAGATGGTTTTTATTAATGTTACCAAAAGCATGTTAAAAGGAATGCTTTCACATACAAGTTGAATCTATTGATCTTCAAATAATTTACACTCTGGGGTCCCCGATAAACTACAGGTCCCAGATAAACTGCCTGAGCAACTGGAAATACAGCCTCCATTCTGGATATAGATGATAAAACCACTGTAAGTATATCCTTTATTTTGGAAGTTCCTTTTTACTTGCTGAAAGAAACTGGACTTTAATGTTTGACAATACTGATAAAAGAGGATTTAGCCTCATTTGAATTAAACTTAAATTTTTGGAAAATGGTACAAAATTTAAGATGGGAGTAAAGAGAAAACTTTCATGATTTAAAATATATTTCTAATATATTATTGGAAACCCAGTGCTTCTTCCACTTAACCATAAATGCTATATTCTCAAATCTAGCTTTTTCTATATATTTATTTTCTATAATAATTTTTGACTCTGGAGTCTAACAGAACTGGGATTGTATCTTGGCCCTACTAGTTTCTATCTGTGTTACCTTCAACAATTTACCTTAACATCTCTGAACCTCGAATTCCTCATCTGTAAAATGAGGTTAACAATCTACGTATAGCTTTGTTACAAAAACTAAATGAGCAGTGTAAAATGCTTCTTATAGTACCTGGCACACACATAGTATTATAAATATCGATTAATTTTTTCAGTAATGAACTTTACAATATATGTTTTCCTTTATTTTAGAACCAA